CTTAATATTTGCCACTTGGAGGGATATAAAATACTATCTCTTTGTGGTCTTTACTTGCATTTTCTTATTCAATGTGGTTAAAATTTTTCCATATGTTTGTTGGCGATATGCATTCCCTTTCCTGTTATATTTCTTTTTACATCCTTTGCCCTTTTTTCTGTTATGCTTTTTATATTGACTTGTCAAAATTCTTTATGTGTATGATACTAACACTTTATTGGTCTTTTATGTTACAAAGTTCTTTTCTCAGTTTAAAAATAGTTGCTTTAAACTTTCTCAGTGAGTTTTGGTGAAACAATTATCATTTGATATAGTCACTTATTTATTTATTTTTTTTGAGTTGGAGTCTCACTCCATCACCCAGGCTGGAGTGCAGTGGCACACTCAGGGTCACCCCATTATTGACCTGCTGAGCTCTGGTGATCTTTCCCCCTCAGCCTTCCAAGTAGCCACAACTACAGGTGCTATCACACTCAGCTAAGTTTTGATTTATTGTAGAGATGAGGTCTCACCAAGTTGCCCCAGCTGGTCTCAAACCCGCGGGCTCAGGCAATCCATTCGCCTCAGCCTCCCAAAGTGCTGGGATTACAGACTGAGCCACCAAGCCTGGCCTACTGTAGTCACATTTATCAACCTTTTACTTGTATAGATAGTTTTGGTTTTGCTTAGCTTAAGAAAGCCAACTTTACTTCAAGACTATAAATCAATGTATTTTTTTTTATTAAGTGTTTTAAGATGGTGCTGTTGAAACTTAAGTCTGATCCACCTGGGTGGATCTATGCATGATTTTAAAGGTTTGCAAGACACTGTAATTTAATCCTCACAAAGGCATGTGTCATGTGAATCATTATTTCGTTGTGCAGATGACAAAACTGAGATTCAAGAATATTAAGAAACTGGTGTAAGTACGCACAGCTGGTAAGCAGCAAGTTCTATCCAGGAACTCTGAGAGGTTATAGAGTCTTTTCTTGTGTAACATCTGCCTCTGTCCTTCACAGCACAAGGAGGGTACTCCCACCAGTGCGGGATTTCTATGTTTATCATAGCAAAAAACAGTTTATGTCTCTCCATGAGCCCATCTTTCCTATAAAACTCTGGTATTTGCAAGCTTTGACTAGAAGACAACTTATTAAAGAAAGATATGCAATATTTTAATGCTGATGTCAATGCTGTTCTCTTTGCTATTAATATCATTCTCAGAGAGGGACATGAGAGGCACCACATGAAGAACTATGCCCTTGTTATTCTATATCTGTCTTATAAAAAGTTTACAATCCCAGTCTGCATAAGCCCACTAGTTTTTAGTTTACATTACTTAAACTCTTCAGTTGAGTGGACGATGGACTCTTGGTCCACATCTTTCCTCTCACGCATATCTTTGGCAACACTTTTCTAGTGGGAGCCTGTTCTTGGGATTCCTTTTCCCAAAGGCATAATGTTCCATTTAAAGTAATTACTTCAATTAATACATCTAATGGTAGCAAAACATCTGCAATTCTCTACTTGACTTTCACAAGAGGTAAAACCGACAAAGATGAAGAGATAGAATAATTATAGCAAATATACTTGAAAATCATATACATAACGGCATCTGATTTCTTTTTATACAAAGAAATCACAAATAAATGCTTTTTCCAGAGAAAAATAATTTTAACCCTGGTTGGGCACAGTGGCTCACACCTGTAATCCCAGACTTTGGGAGGCAGAGGCGAGAGGATTACCTGAGTCCAGGGGTTCAAGACCAGCCTGGGCAACTTGACAAGACCTCACCTCTACAATAAGTCAAAAAATTAGCCAGGCGTGGAGGCATAGGCCTGTAGTTCCAGTTGCTTGGAAGGCTGAGGGGGAAAGATCACCTGAGCCCAGCAAGTCAAGGCTGCAGGGCGGGGAGCATGCCACTGCACTCCAGCCTGGGTGACAGAGTGAGACTCCAACAAAAACAAAAACAAAAACAATTCTAACTCTGGAAAGAATTTTAAAATAGGCTTAGAAATCTATGTCCATAAAATGAGAATTATCTTTTTCTGAACAGAAATTTCTATTGTATTGTTATTGACATAAATGCATTGTTGCATGATGACCAATTTTTAGGCCACTTGAGTTTATGTCCCTCAATATAGAATTAAAGCTTTCTTTTTCCTTTTTAGCAATAGAGAATATTAAGAAATTATTTAAGAACACTGTCCCACAACAGAAGGCTGTCTAAAGTTTAACTTTTAAAATGTGATTTCTCAGCAGGGTTTCAGTCTGCTAGCATTCTCAGGTTTCCACTTTGCCTCTGCAGCATAGTTTCTGAACCATCCTAATACTCAGAAGTTCCATCCTGAAGGATTATTCATTGTATTCATTCTACTCACAGCTTTATCTCAGGCAATTTGACTGGTTCAACATATTGTAGGATGTATAAATGGTGAATGAGGATGTCATAGAATCCACAGGGTATTTGAACAAGATTGGCAAGCTCACTGTACATTCCATCCACAAATGAATTCTCTATTAAAATATTAGAACCAACATCATAATTTCCATGAATTTATAAAGTGAACACATATTTTGGAAGCTCTTTCACACAAACAACTCCATAAAATACTTCAAAGGGCAGGATTAAACTTATGTATTATGAACTAAAGATACATACATAGTGTTTTCTATGCCCTTCTCCTTCTCTTTCTTTTCCTCCTCATGACAAATTTTTATTTTTATTTATTTATTTATTTGAGTCGGAATGTCACTCCGTTGCCCAGGCTGGAATGCAGTGGCACACTCACGACCACCGCAGCTGTGACCTGCTGGGCTCAGGAGATCCTTCTGCCTCGACCTTCCAAGAAGTGGGAACCACAGACATGCACTCCCATGCCTGGCTGATTTTTTAAATTTATTATAAAGACAAGGTCTCACCAAGTTACCCAGGCTGGTCTCGAACCCTTGGACTCAGCCTCCCAAAGTGCTGGGATTACTGACTTGAGCCACTGCACCCAGCTGACAATTTATTTCTCTAAAAGTCTACCCAAATGTATTACACTTACTATAATAAAAGAAACAAGCAAAGTTGTTTAAAAATATTTCATTGAAATGGTCAATTCTGTGTACATAAACACATTAATATTCTGCTATTTCTTATTATCAAAGCCTATAGGGTAGTAATCACAATTACTAGAAAAAATAAGAACCTGAAAAATAATCAACTTTCTTTCATTCATGCCTTAAATGGTGTCATATAAAAATATGTTATTACTATTTTGTTATAATAAGTAGCATATCACAGACTTATAAGAAGTTTTTCAAAGTACTCATGATAGCACTGTTGAAAACATAATTTCAGTTGTTAAACAGGAGACTCAACCTTGTCCAAAAATATAGAATGATAAATATCTGGAAATGTTGAGTGATAATTTGTTTTCAGCCAAGCTCTTCTCTCTCTGCTTTCCCCTTGCCCTTGCCCTGCAAAATAAAAGAAAAACAGGCCTTAAGACTTAAATTACCCAGGTAATTGTTTCAATTTTATTATGTATTATAATATGACATAAAGATAAAAATGAAAACTTAGCTAATATTGTAGATGGTGATAATTTAGTTTTGTATACTTTACATTCAGACTGTTGATGCTATGCAAATAAAAATAATAGCTATAGATAGGAAAATGCAATGAACTCATGAGAAAGTACCATTTATTACATTTTCTTTTGTTTTTAGAAGTGACGAAGCAAAGTCCACCTGGTCCATGCTATAGACGGTGCGTAAAATCAAGCAATCATGGAAAGGTTGATTTTAGAAAACTGCCATTTCAATTTTTCAAGATTCAGTAGTAGAATCCTTATTTATAACATGCTTAAAATAATGTGCATAAATCCATAATTGTTAGGAGTCAAGCCAATATGAGCACATTTCAAATCCAACTCTACTTATGAACAGGTATGTATTGTATTTTATCTTTGTTAGATGGCAACTGAAAAATAATCTATTCATTTTTATTTAGGACTCAGAAGGGTCAAATAAATTTTTTTTGTATTTAACTTCATGCAAATATACATGTAAGTTTCAGAACTTACATGTATAGGCACCCTTAATAAAAAGGCAGTGTAATAAATTATCATCATTATGTAAACATCCCTTTAATCTGCTGTTCCTTTATACAAAGATTCTTATACTCTTTGTACTATCTATGTATTTATATGCTTTATATATACACCTGAGTGTTACTGAACTCAAGTGAAACTGTATATCTGCTACATAAGATAACTGCCTGTAAAATAAAATTAAATTATTTAAGCACTCCAGCAAAGAATGCAGCAATGTGTGTTTAATTTAACATCTAACAGAATATAGTAAGATGATCCAATAATCTTCAAAAACAAAAAGCAGAATTTAGTATGTTGTGCTACTATTATAACAAGATATCAAAATGTATATAGTAGCTTTAACTATGAATTCATAAAAGAAGTAAATTAATAACAATACAGTACTATTAAGAAATCATCTGCTTGGTGGTTCTCAAAATATTGGTATTAATGGAGCTACAAATCCAGAATGTCAGAGCACATGCCAAGAATGTGTGTATAAGTATGCAAATTTTAATGTAACATCCGTTTATGTGATTGATCACCAGTGATATTCAAATCAACCCAAACATTCCAATCTTGAAAAAATGTTTTCAATTTATAAGCTTTCTACAGAAAGAAAACTCAGTTGAGGTTCTGGCAATTGAGCAGATGTTACCAGAAAGAAAGAAAGGAAAAAAAAAGGGTACTGAAGGATGCTCACTAATTGAGCAAAATCCTATAAATGAAGCCCAGAAGTTCATATCGCCTTTGACTTTAGCGAGTCTTTAAATAATTATAATGAATCTGCAAGTTCTAGCCAGCCTTGCTGCTTATGCATCATTAAAATCGAACTTCTAGTTCTGCCAGTGGATTCACTTGTTTATATATTCACATAATTAGCACCTCATCATGTGATGCTACTCTGAGACCTCTTTGCATCCTCCAGCCTCACCACACTGCAAAAGCAGTTACTACTGGCTCATAAAATTCTGCTGTCCTTCAACTTCTGCTTTTTTCCCTGTACAAAATAATTGAATTTTTAAAAGATGAGGGGAAAGATGGGATAGATCAGTAAGTTTTCAAGATACTATTTCAAATATGAGGAAACCCAGAAAATGGAATCACTTTAGTCTCTCCAGTTTCGTCTTCTTCCGCTTCTGTAGCACCTATTTAATTCTTGGCATTTTGAAGTTGGTATTTTTGAACACAGGGGCTCTGGGTTTGGTATCCCTCCCAGCCACACTGCATCACCTAGGATGCACTTCTGTGAGAAGAGATAATCGCTGCTTGACTGCGATTTATGTTGACATTTCCATTTTTTAAATTTTAAAATTCTCTCTCTCTCTCTCTCTCTCTCTCTCTCTCTCTCTCTCGTCTAACTCTTGTCTCTCAATCTCTGTCTCTGTCTCTCTTCCTTTTTGAGACAAACAGCCCTGGTGACCGGATACCCACTGCTATTATTGTGAAGTTGTTGTTTCACTCAGTGAAAGAAAGTACTTTCTGAGAACTTCCTCCGTGTGGCCCACTAGCCTTTAGGCTACTCCATGACTGCACATGACGAAATATATTTAGAAATATCCGAGCTTCCCTTTTTTTCCTCTCTTCTGTTTTGGAGGGTGCTCGGGTTGAAAGGTGAGGCCCACAGGGCAGCCTTTGGCCTTTCGGTCTCAGCCAGAGTTTCTGCCGGTCAAGTTTGCGGCTTGGTGAGCGAGAGGAGCGCCTGGACGTCGCTGATGGACCTACTTCTTACAGTAGCCTCCCGGCAGGTCAGCCACAGCGACATTTGCGGCTGGACTCTTGCGAGGGGTGGAGGTGGGGGTTCGCTCTTGAGCCCAAATCGCCACGGCCTCGGGCAGAGCCGCAGCTGCTGGAGAGGAACTCGGTGTCCAAACTGCGGAACGGTGGGCGTCGGGCACCGAGCGGCGCGCTCTGGGCACCAGGTAAGAGACAGTCCTTGGAAATCTGGGGGGCAGAGGAGGGAGGTGTCGGGAAGAAACGAACAGCCTTCGGAGTGCGCGGTCCCCGGGGAGCCCGAGGCGCCCAGCCTGGGACTGCAGAGGTGGGGTGGTGCGCCCCGGGCGCGCTGGGACCGCAGGACCGCTCTTCCCACCGGGTCCGCGCGCCGACTGCCTGCTTCCAAGTGCTGTAGGAAGGCTGAGAAACTCCCAGGCTCTTCCCAGACCCAAGACTGGCGTGGCGGAAAGCGGTCCGCCTGCCTTGGGACGCACCTGTTGCGGGAGAACGACCCCCGCCACCGCGCCGCAGCGCTCCCCGCCGCGAGGGCTCCGGGTGTGGCCCGAGAGAGCGCAGCCCCGGGCCCCTGCCGGCTCGTCGCTTCGACCCCTCGCCTGGCTGAGCCTTGAATGGGCCCCCGGTCAGGGCCAAGGTCACGGCGCGTCTTGGCTGAGGCCCCTTGGACCGCAGCAGCCCTGGGCCAGCGGCGGCTGCTCTCTCCTCCCCGCACACGTCTCAGGTGGCCGACGGCACCCCCGCGTGAAATCCGTATGCTCACCCTCCTGAGCTCCCGGCCTGCTCCTTGTCGGGTCCAGGGCTCATTGGAGGGGCTGAGCTGACGTCGCCGGTGACCCTCGGAGGCGAAAGCGACTCGGTCTTTTGGGCCCTGGCGAGTGGACACCCACTTTATGGCAAGCGAAGTTGGGGCACCTTTACTTACGTCTGTTTCTTAATCCCTGCAACGGATAGGGAATGAGGGCATCCAGCCTCTAAGAGAGCTTACTGGGCTGGGGCCCTGGACCCAGGACCACCCCACACGCACACTGCGGCCCTTCGGGAAAGCAGAGGGCGAGGCCGTGTCCCGACCTGGGGCGGGTCCCGGCCTGGACACCGCGGATCTCCCATTTTCGGCATAACTGTTTCTGGAGCTACAAACCCTTAGAGAAGGGCAAAGGCCGGATCGGGTCCATTCGGGCCCTTTCCGGCCTAGCGCGGCCCTATTCGCCCAAGAACGACCCCTCTCGGCGGAAAGGCCATGCTGAGGGGCAGTGGCTTCTGGTTGGGACTCCCAGAACTCCGGCCCCTGTCTTCCATCCCTGCAAGTCAGTTGCTCAGCTTGTGTTTCCAGGACTGCTCTCCCGCCCCCTTTCTCTCTCTCTCTCTCTCTCTCTCTCTCTCTTTCTTGCCACCTTCTTGACTAATTCGAGGGCATTTTAAACTTTATTTCACATTTTCAACTGAGAAAATTTGGACTTTTCTTTTTAAGGTAAAATATCTCGCAGCAACTTGGTTTTTTTAATTCCTTCATTTGCAACTCCTCTGCTCTAACTCGACTTTGGTACTTCTCAAAAACCAATCAAAACTCAGGCACAGGCATTTTCAGACTGGGCCTGGGAAAGACAGAAACCAGTGCCCAAGGGTCAGAGAGATGGCTCAGGAGGCCAGGGCCTGTGCACTGGGCCCAGGGCGGGAAGCTGCTCTTCCTCCAGTCCTGCACGACGGGTCCCCACTTTCTTCCTCCCTAGCCCCCTCTAGTTTGGGGTGGGAGCCGCAGAGGGTAGCCCAGTCGCTCCCCCTAGCTTCCATCCCTCACCTGAAACTGCAAAAGTTCTGGGACCCTGTTTTTCATAAGCGACTCAGGGGATGCCACTATCTTAGCTAAAAAGTGAGAGTCTCGTGAATTAAGAAACATTTCTTTTGCTTAGATATTAGGACGTTTGGACATCAGTCTTTAGATATTAGGATTTTTGGACAACATTCAATCTCAACTCTTAGATTCTTCGCTTTAAGACACGTTCCCTCCACAGAGGTGGAGGCGGTAGAAAAGGCTGCGTCCAGTCTTCAAGAGTATTCACGTCCTGGCCTTGACAAGGGACTGCTAGACTTTTTCTTTCTTTGACAGAGAAGAAAAATTCGGTGTAGAAGAGGCATCCGTCCCAATGTGGCGTCTCCCTACCCGGCAGGTATTGACAGGGCTGCCCTCGCAGCGCGACTGTCCCTCAGGGATCCCCAGTCTTGCAGAGTGCGCACACCTCGGACCCAGGTATCCTCTCCCACTGCCCACTCCATTTGTGTCCATGGAAAGTGGAGCCTTTCCCTAGCGCTCGCAGTGACTCCGCGGCGCAGAGGCCCGAACTGCGCGAGGTTCCGGGATTGATTTGTTTCACACTTCCACGGAGACACTGAGCCGCAAGCCAGCGTCTGTCTCCAGTTCCCCCAAGCCCGGGGCGTGACGGTGTCCGGGTTCCTCTAGGGGCCACCTCCGGGGTTCTCTCCTTGCCGAGTATCTCTGCCTTTCCACCCCTCGTGCGGCCGAGCTAAAGTCTCGAACGACAAAAAACACAGCAAGGGGGAGGGGAGATCTGAGCCCACCTCCGTGCTCGCACCCAAGGCTCCAAACTCCAGGCCTCCTTTTGATTCCCAGAAACCAGTCTGCGCTGGGTCGCAGTGTCCACGCGCGCACGCCCAACGGAGCTCTCCGGGTCCTTTCGTGGTCGAACCACACGCAACTCACACATGCACCACACCGCAGAGTTTATTATTCCACCCCGAGCTTCCGCTTTCCCCTATCCGCGGGCGTAGGGCTGCCCCAGGCGGGTAGATCCACCGCCTGGGCCCCTGGCAACGAGCTACGGATGCTTCCGGGCGCGCCCGCGCAGCGGCAGAGGCTGCCCAGCTGCGCTCGGACGCAGGCTGTCCCCCCGCCTTCCGCCAGCGCCGAGGTCCAGGACGCCTGGAGCGGGAACAATCTCTCCCGGGTTCCCAGGAACCTTTCCAGTCCTTAACAAACTCTCCCCGCCCACTCGGCTCCTTTTCCTCCCCTCCCCTTCCCAAGTTGCTTTTCTTGGGACATTAGGAATCCCCCTCCGCCCCCGGTTTTAGCTAAGAACTGAGAAAATTGTGCACAACTGAAATTCTTTCAGTAACACCTATTTTAAAACGAAAGAGAAGACAAAGATAAGCCAGAGACTTCTCACTACAATAGTGTCAGGGGCAAACCCATCACCAAATATGGGCATCGCGTTGAAACCACACCAGAAGAGCCCGGTAAACAAAACCGACAGAAAGAAGGGCAGTGTTGAGGAAAACACACCTAATGAAGAAAAACTTCAGAAACGAACCTCGGCGTGCAGACCTCCACGCCCCATCCTCTCCCAGCTCTCGCGGGCTGAATCCGCCCTCCTTCACCTCTTGTCCCTCCAACCTTCCCATCGGGACCTCTTTCTGCTCACGTTTTTCTAAACTTTGAAGCAGCTATGAAAGAGAGGACAGAGAGCTTTTCAGTTCCTCTCTCCAAACCCAAAGGAGCCTCCGTCCACCGCTGGCCCGCTTCTGTTCCCTTCCTTCGATTCCCTATGTGTGATTTGGTTAGGGAAATTGGGAAGGGGGGGTGGGGTGGAAGAAAGTTAAAAAAAAAATCAGGAAGGCGTGAACTGGAGGGGTGAGTGTGTCAATCAGAGGGTTTTGTGCCTGGGGGCTCCTAGCGGTTCCGAGCAGAGGTGTCCCAGGGCGGCCCCACAATGAATATGAATAGAAATCCTGGCTAAATGGGGCAGCAAAGCGCACCGCCCTGAAGGATAGCACGTCATCCTAACCAGCCCAGGATAGATAGGAGGGCTCCTTTTGTCTCTTTTCTCCGCAGCAGCTCTATAAAAGCCCCTCTTCTCCAGCGTGAGGTTAGTTCAAGCACACACCAACTAGCTGTCCAGGAAACAGCCTAACTAGAGAGAGGGGAGTGGGGAAACAGCCTCACTAGAGAGAGGGGAGAGGGGAGTGGAGGCAGCGCCTCCGCTTTTCTCCTCACGCCTTGCTGCTGAGAAGTGGGTTGCTGGGCCGTGCAGATTTTTTTTTTCCTTTTAATTTAAGATTTTCTTTCATTTCCCGCCTAAAGCCTCCCCAAGGTAGGGCCGCATCCCCTGTAATAAAATGAATTCTGATTCGAGCTCTGTCTCCAGCAGAGCTTCCTCTCCGGACATGGATGAGATGTACCTGAGGGATCACCACCACCGCCACCATCACCACCAGGAGAGCCGTCTCAACTCGGTCTCGTCCACGCAGGGCGACCTGGTGCAGAAGATGCCGGGAGAGAGCCTCTCGCGGGCCGGCGCCAAGGCCGCGGGAGAGAGCACCAAGTACAAAATCAAGAAGCAGCTGTCGGAGCAAGACCTGCAGCAGCTGCGGCTGAAGATCAACGGCCGCGAGCGCAAGCGGATGCACGACCTGAACCTCGCCATGGACGGGCTGCGCGAGGTCATGCCCTACGCGCACGGGCCCTCGGTGCGCAAGCTCTCCAAGATCGCCACGCTCCTGCTGGCCAGAAACTACATCCTCATGCTCACCAGCTCCCTAGAGGAGATGAAGAGGCTGGTTGGCGAGATCTACGGGGGCCACCACTCGGCCTTCCACTGCGGGACCGTGGGCCACTCGGCCGGCCACCCTGCGCACGCGGCCAACGCGGTGCACCCGGTGCACCCCATCCTGGGCGGCGCGCTCTCCACCGGCAACGCCTCGTCGCCGCTGTCCGCCGCCTCGCTGCCGGCCATCGGCACCATCCGGCCTCCCCACTCGCTGCTCAAGGCGCCCTCCACGCCGCCCGCTCTGCAGCTGGGCAGCGGCTTCCAGCACTGGGCCGGGCTGCCCTGTCCCTGCACCATCTGCCAGATGCCGCCGCCGCCGCACCTGTCCGCGCTCTCCACCGCCAACATGGCCCGGCTGTCGGCCGAGTCCAAGGACTTGCTC